AGCAGGAAATTCTAATGGAGAAAAAAACTTCACTGGGCAGCAGTTACATGGGGTTCCCTCTATCCAAAATATTCCCGACATCTGCGGCCATGGAGAGATCTCCATGCAGTTTCTTTTCTCAAGGCTTCGGTGACAAGGAAAAGACTGCTGGAAACAACAAACTCAGCCTTTGCTATATAAAATTTCCTGGCTACAGCTCTCGTGGTAAATAACTGTCTTGATTGTAGGCATGCGTTTGACTGTTCTCTTGCTATTGCTCCAGGCCATGGAGACAGAGCACTTGGAATATGCAGACACTGGAAGCTCTTCCAAGCTCTAGTAACCAACCCCTTTGGAAAATTGCCTCATAAAGATCCCCATGAAATCCAACAAAAAGGGCAAAAATTGACTCCCTTTTAGACGACAGGCCAGTTCTCGCTGTGCCTGCGGTCAAAAAAAAGGAGCACTTCCAGTGGGTATTCTGGGCATGATCCTAATCCAATGGAAGAGGATGTCCTAGATTCCTGGGTGAGATGAATTCCATTAGCACTGGATCAACTTCAGGGTGGGCTGGTTGGTTGTTCTTGTCTTGTACTCGTCAGGTAAGACTACTTTATGGAGTGGACTTTGCATGGTAGGTAGTGAGCAGGTTTCAGTCATCGAGGTGGTAATGAAAAATTGCCTCACATGAGTACGTGAATCCAGAGATGAGGGACAGGAGAATCCCCAAAAAATGTTTTGAGGTCACTTAAGGTTTTCTCTTGTGTTTAAACGGTGCCCGCAGGAAGCCTCCATAACAAAAATGTAAAGCACTTCACCTTCAGAAAAAGTCATTAGTGAAAATAACCATATTAAATTCAGGAGAAAAAGGAGAATACATGAATAAAAGGCTGTTCTGGGGACTGGGATGGAAAAATTGTGTGGCAGGATAGCATACTCAGGAGATTATTCCACGTTCTTAGGATTTCAGAAAGCAACTGTGAGCCTTTACTCAGGAGGATCCTTCTGCATTCCAAGCCTTTCTTCCACGTGTTGTGTTCAGAGCTATGCCCTTGTATCGGGGCTCTGGGGACCTTGGTAGCCACTGCTTAGGCCCGTGGGTGGCACATGCTGCTCAAGCTGGCTGCATCTTATTTTTGAAGGTGGTGTCTTCAGAGAGTCCGTAACAAGCCCTTCATATGTAATTCCCCTTAAAAAAAAAAAAAACTCCTGAGCAATCTCCATATTTTATTCCCTTTTCAGTCCTCCGCTCAGGCAGAGCTTCCTTGCATATTTCATTACTCATTGCAGTGCATTGATAAATGATTCTTCAAAGAAATTCTGGTTTCTGCTTGGAAAGAACTAATATTTGCGAAGAATTCATATTATTGAGCCCTCATTTTCTTTATGTAATGAAATACTGTCCAATGCAGCTTCGTAATTTATTTCTTTAAAAGCATCGTTTTCTTCTGAGATGCCTCCCAAAGGCAGCAGAGTGACTTCAAATCACATAGGCCCAAGTTTGACAGGTTTTACGAGGAAAGGCCTTTTCCCACAGTTTTATCCACAGTGATCCTGAAAGCAGCCACGCATTTCCAAGCTCGATAGGCAGATCCTCACTAAGAACAGACGTTCTCCCTTTCACACTGAAGTTATCTGTACAAACAGCCCTCCAGAGTCTCCACATTCAGTATTTCCACTGAGGCTCTGAAGATCTGCTGTAAATGTGCCACTGGGAACTCGGAATGGGATGTTTCCCGCGCACGTCGCTGCACAACACAGAGGTGAAGGCAAGCCATTGGTATGTGCACAGAGCTAAAAGCTTTGGAGTAACGGGACTGTTCCGTTATTTTGGACATGGTTCACATACATTGGTTTTCAAGGGTTGGCTCAAGTTCTGTTCATTTAAAGTTTTTCTGAGCTTTAAAAGGTAGCCTGTTGCACAACGCCCAGACAGTACAACTTTTTTAGATACTCAAAATCTCGAGTGGGTGTATGGTTTAGATTGGCATAACTGACATGAAATTTGCAAACTTCATGGAATTTTTAGTGAAATAATTATATTGTCTTGTAGAGAATATTTGTTATAAGCTCATGTTTCGCTTGTGATACCCTCAAACTAATTGGCAAGAGGTACCTAATTGCTACCTCCTGCTGGTACTCCCTTCTTATTAGACTTGTAACAATAAAGCAGTGTTATTTTGAAAGGGATAGGTAAAGCTTTAGAAGCTTTAGAGCTTCTAAAATATAACTGTAATTAAAAAGAGGTTACTATTACCTCGTTGTTAAAGAGTAAGATTTCAGAAAAACAGAACACATTTTATAGAGCAGGATGCACCAAGTTGGTCCTTCCGGGCTCAGAAGTGGGTTGAAGCCCTGCAGAAGGCAGGAATTTTTTTAATGAAAAGCCCACGAGCCATAAAGGTGGTGGGAAGAGGAGACTTGGCAACTAAAGACCTGAGAGAGAGAGAATTAGCTATTGGAGAGGTGACAGGACTGAGCAAGTAGTGAGAGGTGCGTTGTGCTAATAGATAGAGTCTAGGGAGAGGGAAGCCGGTGGGTTGGAAAGCAGTTGGATTTAATGAGCAAGTAGCCTGAACTCAGATGGGAAGCCTGAGAAGCAGAAAATAATACTGACCAGGGACATGAAACGGAGCTGCCGAGAGGAACTAGTGAAGGGAAGACAGGTTCCAAGCTTGGAAGAAGTGGCAAAAGTTCTGTTTCAAAGAACAAATAATACCTTGAGCAGGAAGAAACCTTAGTTTTAATATCCTGTCAATAAATGAACATGTTATGTTTTGTGAACACACTTGTAAAATATTCGCCTTATTTGATTTCTTTTATTTATCAAGGCGTAATTTTTAATTACGCGGTTGTGTTGTCCCCAGGACTCGTGCTGTGTGTAATAGTAACAGACTATTATAACCAGTAGACATGCTGACTTTGAGCAATTATTGCACAGGTTTAGTTCTTCTGTTAAACAATTGAAAGATCAGCTTTTTTAATGTTTGATTTAATGTTTTAATGTTTGGGTTTTTTACTGTGATGGCCACATGTGTGCAATCATATGGTGAGGAGATGTTTGTCACACACGGTTTGGTTTGTGATACTTCTTTTTATTTGTTCAGAATTTCATTCACTGCGGAAAAATCTGTTTTCACTAATTCCATATTAAACTCATAGCCTGCATTAGTTTTATGAAGTGCTTATGCTTCCATTAAATTTAATAACATTATTGTGTGTCTATAACAGCAACACTGAGAGGAGTCACCTTTTTGAATACTTCTGTGCACTGCTGTCAGTCAGGTTGAAGCTTTTTTACTTTTGAGTCTTCTCTGCTTGTGTTTTCAGTTCAAATCCACTCCAAGTAAGAACGTGTCTGTAGTGGGCTGGATGGTGATGATGGCAGATGACCCTGAGCATCCAGATCTCTTTTTGTTGACAGATTCTGAGAAGGGTAAGTACCACCAACACGCAGAGTTCAGCAAATCCCAGAGCCAGCACTTACCCTGCCGGGTGTTTGAAGGCAACTGTAATGCAATTTAGAAGGGATATTACCTTCTGCTACTTCAACTGCTCTCCAACATGTCATGTTTACCTCTAGTGTGTTATGGGAAGAATTATTCCTTAAAGAGACTTCCTTTCTACCTATAACAGTTCTGCTTACATATTTTTAAGTATTCATTGGCATTTTTTAGCCTATTTAGACTATTCAGAGACATTTTGATATGCATGAAGATAAGTGACAATAAATAATTAAGTTCTGCACAAGACTAGGTGCTTGACCAGTCTGAATCCCCTCCAAATAAAAGCAAAGTCCAGAGTCCACTTGTGCCTATTGAAATGCATCCCTCTTTCCATGGAATACAGTGCAACTTGACTGTTTTGCAGAGAAACCAAATGATGAAGCAGGAGTAGCTTAGCATTATTCATTGCTTTGTTCACTTACACACTCCACTATATTTAAATTTTATTTGTTGCAGAGTATCTATCCTGTGGAATTGATAAATTGCGAGTCATATAAAATATGGGCGCTGATCTGCCTAACTTCAGCAACAGCAACATGAAACACTTTTGAAGTAATTGGCCTCTTTGGGTCCAGCATGCAATCAAGTGCTGTATGATACTAGATATTGACAAAACTGGCCTGAGATATGTCAGCATGTTCAGAACTCATTTTCAATGATTTTCAAAGATGGTTTTTTAGAATGCATTTCATGAAACTGCATATAAAAGAAATTGGAATAATGGCATTGAACTACACTGTATCTTAGTTCTGTGGTTCTGAGAAATATTTTCTTCTATTTGACTCTGATCTTAGTTGAAATGCAGAATGTCTGGAAGCGAGACGATCCTTCATGAGCTCATGCTTCTTGTGGACTGGCTCAGACTTTTTAAGTTGCTCCTGTGCCAGTCAAAGTGTAAAGTAACAGGAACTTTTTGCTATTAAATACTTTGATAGCATATCAGTTTATTTACATACAGAGAGTATTTTAGTATAGTAGTATTTGTATTTCTTCATTTTTTCCTCTCTCTCTCTCTCAGGAAATTCATACAAGTTTCAAGCTGGAAACAGAATGAATGCGATGCTCTGGTTTAAACACCTGAGTGCTGCCTGCCAAAGCAACAGACAACAGGTGAGCACAAAGTGCTGCAAAAAAGTCGGCGTTGACAGATTGTCAAGATGACCGAACTATAATGAGTTGCTTTTTAGGAAGAGCAGAGTGCTTTGACCAGCCTGTACACTGATTTCACATGCCCATTGATTTCCCATAGCTTTCCTTTGGAAACAAGTCCCCAGAGCTGCTGCGGTGAGGAAGAAAGGTCATTAGCCTCTTTCAGGGCTGATTTAAAGCAATTGGGCAATTTGGGAAATGGAAGGAGTGCTCTAAAAATCTCTACAGGGTGGCAATATTCTTGTCATTGCCTCTTCAAAAGAGGCTATTTGCAGTTATAAAAAGCTGTAAGTTGTAGCATTCAATATCAGCTCCAGGTAGCTATCCAGAGGATCATTTTGTCAGCTCTTTGGCATGGCTGCTTGTGTGTTTTACTAAATTGTAGGAATATATTTTAATCCCAAGTATGTTTCACAGACTTTAAAAGCAAAGGTAGAATTTTCTGAGAGTCCAAAAGGAAGAGAAGTCCCGCTCCAATCCTGCTTAATTCTCTTGTTTCTCTATAAATTCTTCCTGACTTTTTCACATCTGCAAAAATACCTTTTGAGGTATTTTGAGGTACCTTTTGAGGTCTTCCTTCTCCTTTGCATGTGTGTGTGTCTTACTGAAATCTTCCTTCTCCTTTTCATGTGTGTATGTGTTTCCCCAAGGAAAAGAATTATTGGATCTATTTTGCCTGCTTCTGCTTGGTCTTGCTTAAAATGGACAGGGGAACAAAAGGGTCTTTCCAGGTCATTTTCCATCTTTTTTTTTTCTCATTTCTGCTTCCGAGCAAAATCTAAGGAGTCAGGAGAGGTGCAGTAGCTCCCTTGAAAGCACCTGAGACCGTGGTGAGGAAGCTGCGTGTTCCTCACTGGAAAGGATGGGAATAGTAGCAGCTAGTAGCAGCAGACCAGTACTTCCTCTAGAGAAATGCCTGGTGGTATTGTTGAAAATGGAATATGTTGTTTTGTTCCTGAGAGAATGACTGCCTAAGAAAGGCAGATGCTTTTGACAGTATAGGCACTTAACAAGCTGAATGCTGCTGGAAACCATTTGAACAACTTTAAAGGTGTTAATGGTGTCCTGGCTGACTGTTCTTTTTCATGTAGGTGAATGATAAAGGTAGGCAAGAAATACTTTTGTCAAATGGCATCAAATGGGGTAGTTATGTTGCAAAATAGCTTTAGTATTCATGCAATGTAGTGATGCCTACAACCAACACTTAGGTTTTCTATAGGAAAAGCCTAGAGAAGTGTTTATATAACCAACTTCTTTTTTTTTGTAAATTAATCTCAAAAATGCTAGAGGGTATCAATCATATGCCAGGGGAAACACTTCAGATCCTTTAAGTGCAGTCTAGCAAAGAGTAAAGGTTTATTGATGCTGAAAGGCAATACATCTCCAGAGATCCACATTGTAAAAATTGTGTAGATCTGTCTCATTAGAATCACCTTAGGATATTAAACAGGAAGCTCTCTGTTGGGGTGAAGGGGAGAAATGTTCATGAAAATGACAGACTTCGCTGAGAGAAAACTACTGTCTTGCTTCTGACCTACCCTTCTTGTGTCATTTCTGACAGCATTGCCTTCAGTCCGCCCATTTTTCTAATAATTAACACAAGAATTGCTCTTCTCCCTGTTATTTGGGAAAATCTATGACAAAGATAGATTTTGCATTTTGTTTGAGTTTCAAAGGCTCCCTGACCTGTGTGCTGAGAAATTTCCAACTGGGACTTCGTAAATAGGAGGCAGGTGAGAAGGTTCTGCTTGTGCAGTCTGACACTGAGACTGATCAGGTTAGCGTAATTTCATCTGGGGTTTGAGTTTCAAATTTCACTAAAATTAACAAGATATAATCTAAGACAATATATTAAAACCACCAGCCATGCTCTAGTTTAATATCTTTGCTCTACTTGGGCTTTCTACAGCTTTAAGTGTCCTTGAATGATTAATTAGAGTTGTGTTTTTCTCCTTTTTCTGCGATAGGATGAGTGCTACAACCTGCTCGTGAATAGTCTGTGAAACTGGAATGTGAAAAGCTACTACACCTAAATAACAGCAGATGTTATTTTATTTTTTACTTTCAGGTTCCTGCCAACTTGATGACTTTTGAATAATGGGCTAATTCAAAGCGAAAGAGAACAATTGGAACCACCTCATGTTTGAGAATGAGGCCCTGATGAAAGATGTGCCAGCTGTATTCTGTGCCAGAACAGAGCCCGTCACCTGGATCTCTGAACTCTGGAGCGCCGAACAAACCACTAACGGCTGAGGAATAAGTCCCCTATGGGAAAAAAAATGGAGTTGCAACATGAATTGCCATGGACCATGCTTCATAACGTTCTCTGAACTGACCTGTGGAAACCACTGCCTTAAAGAGTGAAAGGAAAACCAACAAGAAACACCAAATAGTGTGTGTGAAACTTGTGGCGGTGCTGTGCTTGAGTTAAATAGATTGTAGCTAGTTTGGGTTTCTTTTAACTTTATACTAATTTTGGAAATAACTCACCTTTTTAGGTATTCTTAAGAAAACAAACTGATACTTAAGGGTTGCATCAAAAGCTGGGTTTGAGCCAGGTAAAAGAGGTACTACACTGCGTTCCGGAGATGCTGTTCCGACTGTAGCAAGATTCCCGGCGGGAGCTTCCCCCAGGCACGTCGCCTGGAGCCGCGTCCCTTCTCCCAGCCTTGCGAGTGTGGGAATGGTCATGAAGGCCCCCTCAGCTTGGCAGCTGGCCCGCAAACCGCCGGGGCGGGAGCCACAGGCCCAGCAAGCGGCACGGCAGCTGAGCACTTAGACACCAAAATTCCTTTTTTTGGTACGTTGTTAGCCAATTTGTTAGCCAATTCCTGGTTGAAACACAGTTCACGTGTTGTGGGTGGCTGGTGTGTGTGAAAGAGACCTTTGAAAGCATTGCTGGGTCAGAGCTGAGTGTTTTCCTCCCTTTTTATTTCTATGCTTTTCACACTTCTGCACATGAAGGTTTCATAACCTTGCTAAGGAGGTATTTTACTTCTCTGGGTATCTTAATTACCAGCTAGGGAACACTGTCAGTGTAAGATGTTTCATAATATCACTTAAAAGACATACATTTTAAAATAATAGAGGCACAATTTCAAGCGTTCATCCTCTCCTTTTGCAATTACTGATTTTATTACCTGTCTTGCTCGAAATATATGACATTGTGCATTACTGATAACATGGCCTAAATCAGACCTTATGTAACAGAAGCTGTGTTGATCTTCAGGAAAGTACCTACTTGAACAAGGAGAACTTAAGGAAAGAAAAGGTTTAGGACTATCAAAATTCATTTCTTGAGAGAAATAATTCTCAAGTCACTGAAATTACTCTCCAGGAAAAACATTGGGATTGTAAAAAGGGAGCCATGCTTTACCTGTGTGTGTTATGCCTAAGAATTTGGTTCTTGCTTTATTTGGGTTTCCTTGAAGTCAGATGGAATTTCTTAGATGGTTAGTCCTTATTTAATCTTCAGAAATATGATTGTTTTAAAGCAAGGAAACATTGTCCAAAATATGAATTTTATATCAGAACTTATAGTCTGTGAAAAAGTAGTAAATGTTCCATTGACCTCGTGGTTTAGTGGCGGTAAATAAGCTTGCAGACTCCTCCATGATGCTGCTTTTTGAACAGAAACAAACTATCTACCAGTCTGTGGCAGAGTTCTCTGACGGTGTAATAAAGGTTTCTAGTACTAGTGCTTATTTGGAAAATGTACAGTTCATTTATTGCATCAGAATGGAACCCTGTAAACCCATTGGTTATTTTTTCCAGAGTCAAAATTAATCCTGTAGTGGAAATGATGGGGGTGGGAGGGAAAAAGAGAAGGATAATCCAATCTCACGTTAAAGAAGGAAAGGAACACCAAAACAGAGAGAACTCACCTCTCTGACCTGGAGTAAACACTAATAGGCTGAGTTGTATTTCCAAGAGCTGTTCCTGTGGATTGACTCTCGGGAAAAAAAAGGAGGAGGATGTTTCTGTTAGAGCTACACCAGAATCCATGGGGATTGTGTCCCTTGTGACTTCCTGCCGTTCTCGTGGGCCGTGACTGGTCTATCTGATCCGAAAGACATGGGTTTCGGCAAGAAAACTGGGATTCATGCTGAATCCCAGTCCGTCTCCCGGTCTGACCCATGCTGGGTGCGCAGTGAGGACGACCTTCGCAGTGTCACTGTCGTAGAACTCACACAACTTCTGTTTGGGTCGTCTTCATTTAAACAGAATTAATAATGTGTGTTTCTTCTCAACAACTAAGTGTTTTTTAACAATGTGTGTACTTTTTTAAGCATTGTGGATGATAGCGCTGTGAAATTTGGATTTTTTAAACAAGCTAATACAGAGTCACTGCAGCATAACCGTGTCTGTCCTCCTGTTGGTGAACGGAAAGAGGCAGCGGGAGCCCAGCTCCGCTTTGCTAAACAGAGCCAGATCAGAGGGTGGTGTTTGTTCTTCCATTTTCCCAGATGTCTTATGTTTTTCTGTGGCGGGAGGATGGTGGAAAAAACACCGCACGAGTCATCTAGCGCATTGTTATTGTCACAGACTTTCTTCTTGGGCCTCCTACTCCTCATCTTTATTTTCCCACTCCTGTTTTTCACAGGACAGACTGACTCTTGTGGAAGGAGTTTCTTAAAATCCTTCATTACAGTGATAAGAGAGAATAACAACAACACAGAAAACACTGTGGGCATTTGATAAAAGGAGTAGTTGGATGCTCTTCTCTAGTACACCTCCTTTTTAGCCACGTCGTCCTGCAGGGCGCAGAAATACCGCAGTGTTACGTCTCTTGAGGCAGGTGGCCCTCAGGAAGGGGTGAAGGGATCAACTGCTCCAGCGTACTTCAGAAAGAATCAGAGAAGTCATACACGCTGTAAAGAAAATAATAATGATGATAATGAAGCTTGGGCTGAGAAAACAAGGCCACCACGTCTTGTCCGGGTAAGACAGTGATGCAGGCTCGCTCCGTTGGGCAGGTGTCTTCAGTCAATGCTGTGGTGCGCTGCTCGGGCGCGTTAGCTCGTCAGGAGCTGCTGAAACAGCTCAGCTCATCTTGGACAGCTCATTTTGTGATTTTTTTTGTTTTGTTTTGAAATTGATGCTTCTGACAGTCCCCTGATTGCAGGAACATGGACAGAAATCATTCGGAGTAGCTCTTTATAGCAAGTCGTTAAACGTTAATCACCCGCTGACTGCTGATCACTTGCCTTCATTAAACCAACATCGCTGGGAAACCATGAGCAAGAGAGTCCGGTTTAAAAAATTGAGGCAAATGCAGTAAAAATACATTGGGCTCCTCTTACTTAGATGTTGACTCTTCCTACAAGATGTTGAATACCCACTGCTACCTTTTATCTTTCCAGCCGAATCCTTGTTAATTTTAGCTGGTTTTTCAAATTTGGCTTCTATGCCTGTGTTCTTAGAAACATAATAAGGATATTTGGGTTTTTTTGGGGAAAAATGGTAATTTGATAAATCTAGCCCGTTGCAGGCATTAGTTGTCAGCCCCTCAGCTTGTGCGATAGGCAGCTCCCCAGTTGGGCAGTTTTAGCCTCTTGCTTGAAGAATTGGTGCTTGTTTGGGGGAACCAGCAGATTAACTTTCCTCCTTGCAACTCAGCTGTGGAATATGTGGGTTTTTTGCCAGCAAAAGCATTTATGTGTATTTGAAAACATACATGGAGTAAAAGCAAGCCCAAAATACAGCAGGATTTTTAGTTACCTTTCCTTAATAGAAGCCAACTATATTTTTTTCTTGCAATGTCAGACTCTATTTGCATTTAAACATTTGGAACCGTCCAGCTCTATTAATGAGACAAAAACAAATGTCCAAAGGAAATGCTCTCCAGCTGAAGTCACTTTAGCAAATCTTTCCAAATCAAGATGAGAAATTGTGTGATGTTTTTTTTCTGGCTCTGTCCGTACCTTCTTTCTTATTTTTTTGGCTTTATTTTGTGGGGTAACTCACCAACATTAGTAGTTCTAATCTTTTAATGTTTAATCTATCTGGCTATAGTGTGCTGCCTGTTACAAGGATCAAGACACTGGGACACTAAATCGCATCAATTAATCTGCTCGTTCTCCTCACAAAGGTCAAGTTTTTAAGTTTTGTTATTTAAATACCACCCTCTTCTTCCCCTTTTACTCTAAAAATGGCTTGTGCATAAAGTGATGGTCTTGAGGAAGTGCTAATTAAAGGAATCTGTACTATGCACGAAATTGGAAGCACTTAACCCTTCTCCAAACCGTAGCTATAATTTCCGCACGTCTGGGCGTTGAGCACGTGGGTTAAAGAGGGCTTTGGGCACTGCCCAATCGGTTCTTGTATTTTGACGAGCACAGCGAGTCTCCGTGGAGGCCCTTTCACTCCGTGAGAAGCCGTGGCCGTGGCGTGAGCGGCTTTGGTACCTGGTGCGTCTCACCAGGCTCTCATCGGTGAAGTACAGCAGTGCTCGTTAGCTTGGCTTTGTACAGCTGGTATCCAAAATAGCTCCAGCTGCTTCGCTTCTACCTGGCGAGTCTCCAAATAGGTCTGGTGAGGAGGAGAGGGAACATGGAAGAGGGTCCTGGAGGTGCAGGCAGAAGGCAGGCTGATGGGCTCAGCCACGAACGCTGCCGACCCACAGACCCCCCTGGGGCCGCTTGCGTTGCTGGGAAAGGGATGGAGGGAAATGGCAGCTCCTGCAGTTCGCGGCCGGCGGCCAGACCCTGCTCTCAGGCCGCTAAAAGCATCACGGATCTCCCCTTCGCACCGTGTGCTTGCTCAGCACTCTGCTTCTTTTTATTTTGGTAGTTCCTGGCCTCAAAAATGTGTTTCCCGAAGGTATTTCCTACCATTCCAGACCTGTTCAGAGCTAGAACTGAAAAGCAGCAGCAACTGATTTATCAGATACTGAAAGAAGGGGTTCCTAGGATGCTCTGTGTGTACAGACAGGTATCCAAATGCCAACACTGCTGAGCTGCAGCGTGGGGAGCACAGGGGAATCATGGAGCTGGGACAGCCACAGTAGGAGCCGCATCCCCGGGACGGGGAGCCCGTCGTGCCGCGACACGAGCTGTTTCAGCAGCCATTCCCTGCTCGCGCGGGGCACTGAGCGCCAGGGCGAGCGCACC